TCGGTAGTGTAAGCCGCTATCCCTACTGGTTCCCAAACCGTTAAAAGAGCACATACAAGAAGGTAGCGTAGACTAGGGGAAGAAAACGACTGTGAAGACTACTTAAGCAGAAACAGAGATGGCTTGGGTGATTGGTCCAACCTAGAAAACGGTATGACAGCAAGCAAAAATATGGAACCAAAAGTTGCTGAGTAATTGGGGGTAGGAGATCCCCGAAATTTGTAACCCCAGTAGGTGGATACAATTACTGTTTCTCAGTAGTGTCACGAGGAAGGCAGCATTTTCGATATCTACTCCGGCAGCTTTTGGGTACTTTTAGAGCTGATCGATCCAATTATCAGTGCAGTCCTAGAGGTGGTTCTAATTATAGATCTAAATGGTCTTGGTTAACAGAAAACAATTTTAGCGGATTTCAAAAATACCATCACACCCTCCTCTGACGAGTGGAAACAGCTGGTAGTTACCCGGGAAGGTCAGGCGACTATTACGGTGTAGGATGAACTTACAATGTTTCTTGGCGGAACGATCTCTAAGCAAATTTTAAGAAATCTATGGCATCCTCTTCCGAATGCCACATACCTGACGGTGTGACTCTGGATCCGGTAAAAAAAAGTGTATTTCGCCTGAACTAAATTTCGTATAAAGTGGAAAATTGCATAAAATTCGCATCCCATGGTGTAGGTTCGGGAGTGTTCACGTAGTAGCGGCTCTCACTGATTATTTTTAGATAGCTGATTTTTTTTTCAAAATTTACTGCATGAAAGGCGGTAGAATTCAGATTTAAAGACAAGTTGTACAGCCGAAACAGTGCTTTTGCGGACTGTGGTTGGACCTCAGGGCACACTTCCCTCTCTTTAAGCGACACCTGCGGCCCAACCAATAGTCCGTCGAACATAGGAGAGGATCCTAGCACACGAAACGGCCAGTCCAATACCGACACGCCATACGCTGGAGTGTCCCAGAGCGCTCAGGGCCCCAAATGACTGAGGAGTCCTTTGAGGAGTTGAGAAACACTGTGCTGGTAGTTTGTGAGAATAAAGTAGCTGTTCCCCGAACGCGCCCGCCTTCTCTTCCATCTACCCGCCGGGCTAGGACGCATACCCAATAGCATCGGAGAATTCATGATTTTCCCCACGCTCAAAGTATGTGGCTAGTAGTTTTGAAGTCCAATGTCGAGTGAAACTGTGGGCCAGGTTCTTAATAATTCGGAATTTGAAGAACACTTTTAGAATTAAAGGACGCATTTTCATCGGGAATAAAAATTACAGAAGACAAATGTATACGAAATACAATATTTTGTGCCTATTTCCTACAAGGTATGCTCAAGTTTATTAAGGCGTTAAAATCAAGTAAAAAGCATAACATTCTCGACTGAGTACAGTGTTTAGAGACGGCCAGAAAAACGTGCATTGAAAAGTCAGCGTCATAGCATGACAGATATGCCTTAGGATTATTTTACACGACAACTGGTATTATAAATTCATCCAAGTAGTCCTCTCTGAGCGAAAATCGTTTCGCAATTTCCGTTAACGTTTCCTGAGATTCGTCAACTGCTGTAGAATACATATTCCGCAATGTCGGTCCTATCGGCTACTGCTCACTTCCTCGTCATACATCTGTTTTAGTTTAAATTAAGCCTATGCAATTGGACTTACCGGTAACGGCAAAATTTTTGGCTGTTTTTCATCTTCGATCTGTCGTTTTGTAACGTATATTTTCAGCAGTGGACACGCAGCAGTTTGAATATTTTCAGCTAGTCGATGTGAAAACAACCAGATCGTAGTTCGAAACCTGCGGATTAATCAAGAGGGCTTCTATGAAAAGGATACAAGAACAAGTGAAAAACCTAACGTCCAGACGAGCGTACAAACAAGGGCTGCGTGTTCAGCCATCCGCGTCCACGTTAGTTTTCCGGTTTCTCCGACGTATTTGCTTCGTCTGCAGCTGCGCCAGACCCGGTATACGACTCCAGATGTTTTTTTGGCCTGGCAGTGGATTTTTCAGCCTCATAATCAGGCACCTTCTGGTTGCGTCCGACCTGTGCGGAACTCCAATTCCAAGGGGTGTAAGGAGGCAACTGACGGCTTCCGAAACATTTTTCACGTACAGCAGAGCTCGCCAAAACTTGAGGTCGGTTGGATTTCGTTTCTTGCCTTGTTTTCGCGGGCACTGGTTGACGACGTTGCGCGAGTAGTCATTCGTTCCAAGCACCCGTCGAGGGTACTGTAATTCAGCAACCGCGTCATTCGGTTCACTGCAGTGTGTCTCCACGCGCTGGTATATTGCCCTTACGCAAATAGGTTTTTGATTGGCTGGGTGGCTACTGTTGTAGTTCATTACATGCGTCGTGTTTGTCGTTTTCCTGAAAACTTTGCTTTTTAGGTCAGCACAATCTTTGCAACAGACTAGGACGTCAAGAAAGGCCAGCTGGTTGTTTTCCTCTTCCTCAATCGTAAATTGGATGTCTGCGAAGATGGCGTTGAGGTGTTCTTTGAATTCCAACACCTAATCCCGTTTAATGACGATGAAGGTATAATTAGCATAGCGAGCCCAGAATTACGGTCTATGGTGCCGGAAGACCAGCGACTTCAACCGTTGCAGGACCGCCTCGGCTATGAGTCCCATTGGCGTACTGTTCACCTTCTCGTAGACTGTTCCGTTGAACTAAAGTACGTCCTGATGCAGAACTGCAGATGTTTCCCAAGAGTCTTTTAATGAACGGAAGAGAAAGCAGTGGAGTAGTCTGGCTTTTTGGTAGACAAATCGGAATTTTCTGACAGAATCTACCCCAAATTCTATGCACTTTTTCGACCGATGTATCAATGACCAGAAGACTGCCTAAAGTTGGCATTTTTATAAAGTTTAGCCATCCTTCAAATGGACAAAAGCGAGGGTTTTCGTTGACCTTGGGAAATACTCAACACTCACGCATTAAGACTGGGCGAGTATGGTGTAGGCTGAACCATATGACTTCAGAAAGTAATGATAAATTCAGCTTTTTTCAAACTATGCGGCCTGGTGCATTGTCCCGATATAGAGAAAAAGCGCCAAACATCCTCACAAGCTACTATAAGCCAAATTTCCGAGTAGCCTCGCTAGTACACTTGTGGGCTGGTACTGCAAGCATGAAATTAAGTAAATGTGTCCCATTTGAATAAAACCAAAGGCGAGAGAGAGAGAGCGAGCGAGAGAATAAACCTTATTTTGATATTTTCCTTCCGAATGTTCTTTCCAAAATCTGTTTCCACTCACTGTTGTAGGGATGAAAGTAAATAAATGACGAAAAAAGGTGTGTTTAAACAAACCAGGGGACTACTATAGAGACGAACGTAACTCCCCTTTCCGGTCTTCACGCGTCGGATATCTTGCTGAGAATGACATTACGGATAGCTGATATACCGACGTGCGGCAGGAAATATGCTGGAAGCCACGAGGCGTGCGGAGGAAATACTTCCCAGGGATTAGTTTAGGGTCAGGGGATGGACGACCTTATAAAGAATTCGATCAGCAAATTGGTCGAGCACTGTGAAATCACTTTATGCTAGGATATTGGCAGAATCGAATAGGCGAAGAACATGTTTTTAAAGGGAATTCGACATGAATACATAGTGGGAGGTTTGAGAACGCGGTAATACCAGGCGACTGGAGAGATTATACATCGTTGTCAAAAGAATTGAGACATTGGAGGTGTGTTTGGGCCAGATATGGGTATGTAGCCGCACATGAGGCAAATAAATCCCAACCACCTGTAATACGGGACCAATGGCAGTAAGGCTTTTTACAGGTGGGATCGGTGAACGCACAGGCGACGAGGCCAAGTAATTGTATGCGTAAGAAAGGTTACTGGGAATGCGTGGTTGTACCTTGATTGGTTGAGAAATAGTTACCCTGAGCCCTATGCTTAACCCCTAACCCTACCCCCAACCCTGACCCTTAGTCGAAGTCCCAGACCATAACCCCGAAACACCCAACACGAAAGTTAAAAGGAGACGTCAGGCCGAAAGCGAAGAAGGACCACCGTTACTGGGCCGAAAAAAGTAGAAACGACAACAAACAAGCAAGACCGCCAAAAGAACACGCCCCGCAACGCACAGCAAGGCCATGCCAACGCAATCACACCAAATCAAAATATTTAAGTAGGTCAACAGTATTTTATCTACCAGGTACAGCTACATAACCACATCCGACCGCTGTTTGCAGTCGAAACACACAATAAACAGATGCACGGTTAGTAAGTAGGTGACTATTTCCCAACGACCACGCAGAAACATAATCCAAACCACTTTTCAGAAAATGGAGATTGGTCTCGTTTTAAGGGGATGGCCAACAACCATATCATCAGCATACGTAGCATATAAGCAGTCATTAGGCGAAACATGACAGAATAAAATGGAGCCCCTAGGCGCATCATCCCGAAGATATGCTTTTGAAATTACAATGGTTTACACAGTGCTATTAAGCAAATCACTTATTATCGGAAAGGTTAGCGGAAAACTACCGAAAGAATAATAGCTGGCAAGGGGTCACACTCATTGTCGAAAGTTTTATGGGCGACACGCGCGGGAATAAAAACCCGCACTAGCTAGGCTATCGATCGATGTTTGGGTCTCATTCGAACATTTGAATGACGAAACATGATGCCAGCATCCTAAAGACTGTCGTGTCAAGGCCTAGGCCGGGAGGCTGGAGGCCAGAAGAAAAGAACACTTTCTACCACGTCAATCTCGCGTTCTCTCTCTCTCTCTCTCACTTTCACTCTCTTGCGGCCCCTTTCAGAGTCTCGTCTAGTTTCGGGTAGATGCACGCAGACTTCCGCGATCACGCGGTTGCCTTTCATCTCACCACGCAGTGATGACCTTGATAACTGGCGTGGGCGATCAACCAATGAACCTTGAGTGCTTTTGCTACAATCTGACTGGCTACGACACTTCACTTTGTACCGACGCACAGACCTGCATAAAAGACGGGCGATCAGAACGCCCGCGGAGAACCAGTTGAACATGGCAGCGGACTTTCCGGGTTACGCCTCGCCCCAACTCTCTGAGGAACTTGAGGAGAGTGAACTCGCGAAAAAGAACGGGAACAAATGCCTAGGGTGTCTCCGAGACAATGTTTTCACATTGGCCACTCTCTTAGGGGTTTGTGTGGGTTTTGGTATCGCTTTTGGTGTCAGAGCCGCCAAGCCGTCCTCCGTCGCCCTCACATGGGTTGGTAAGTGTTATCACGTTTCGAAGTTCATTACGTTGGTGTGTTGGCGTAGCCTTAAAATTGATGCGATTTTCTACATGAAAATTGGTTTGTTTTGAAATGGCTTACTCCACCAGAGGCCAATAGGAGCAACTTAGGATTGTGCTCGTAGAGAGACCCTGGTCGCAGCCAGAACCGAGGCTGTGATCTACGTAGGAAGTTGCCAGTTAGGTAGTCAATTTATATGATTTCTTCCCGTTCGCAACTAGGATCAGAATACGTTTTATAATAAAATAAAATTGAATGAGTAATCATAAATTATTTCACACACGCGCCAGTCAGAGATGTCATCGTAAAGGATAATTGCATGAAACTGCAGGCACAGAAGGTCGTCTGCAGAAATTTCATTTTTATAAATTTTTCTAATGATCTTCGACGTGCCTTGAAACTTAAACATGTTTACTAAAAAGAAAACACACGACAATATTCCTTCTGGTGTTCATTTGGTAGAAAACCACACCTTTTTAAAATTTTAACTCAGAAAAAGTGGTTAGTTAGGTTTTGCGAAACTATTCAATTTATGAATACTTTTGAGCTTGATCTGCTGTCACATATGCGTTTAGGCCTTCCCGTCTGCAAGCTGTAGCATTTCTTGTAAGAAAAAAAACATATTCCTTCATGCTAGCAATAAGATACCATGCAGGGCTTGCATGCTCTTTGCAATGACTGAGGACTATTCTGCGCAATTCATGGGGAGCATCAGTTAACCAACAGATGCGATGCTATTTGAATAAACATTACAGGCCCAAAAAATCTCATTGTTAGAAACTTTTGCAGAGCCGTAATATACCCTTTTTTCAAGTATAAAATTAGCACTAGAAGGAATATGTTTGGACACGTTCTAAATGAATTATATTTATATGTACAAGGGGTTCGAAAATCCATTAAGAAAATATGTACCATAATTGTAGCCAATTTTACAGAGTGCGGTTTTTAACAGGCGAATAAAAAAGAAGTGCATTTAAAAACTAGCATCCTAGCGTCCGCGTAATATCTTGGTATTATACTGCAGGATAATCAGTATTACAGTCCTGTGTGAGAAATACTTCTAATCGAAAATACATTTCAACATTTTGGTTAACACTTCATGAGATCCGTGACTGACTGTTAGTCTCCTTGTGCACGCAGGCACTGAAGGGTGTAGTTCGTTCGGGGAATTAACATTCCACCTGAGGCTGGAATAACTGTTCGTCGCGTTCGATCAGTTTGAAGTTCTCTTAGCCATAAGTTTGACTGCCAGTCCATTGGAAAGCCTCAAGTCAGCCAGAACTCTGATTCCCTAAGTGATAATGGGACGTCGCGTGTGCTGCCAGAGAATTAATTTCATGCCGTCTTAAAACGCATCGAATCAACTGGTTGGACTCACTGACTTCAACTAGGACATAATTACTTAGGTGAAGTATAGGGCTTTTGAGTGCCAAACAAGAGCCAAAGTCCCTACGTATTCCGCGCATGGTGGCTTCCCACAAGGACATTTTACAGCCAATCCTGCCGATCCGGCTCGAAAAAGATCGCTACTGAAGCAGCTTGTATTTTTCATGATAAATATATTATAGTTCTTTCGAGTTTAGGTGGGACAAGCGAACAGGAACTTCTCCCCTAATAGGGGTGGCCTCGCATTAAATTCCAGGGAGATCAGGGTTACATGTTAGGCTCAGTGTTGGGATACGGTAATAAGTCCCGCTCCTGGACTTTAGCTCAAGGTCATCTGTATTACGCAGAAGTTTACTTTATGCCTCACTCACCCAAGTTTATTTGTTTTCACTTTCCTGGGGAGTAGTTACGTCTTCTGCAAGGTTGATTCCAAGAAGAATATGTGCGTCATTTCGCGAAAACTAGGCGATTTAGTGTCTTGCCAAGAACTTTAATTCATTATGTACAGCGAGTGACCGATCTCATGAAATGTTGGCCGAGATTCTGAAATGCGCTTTCGACTGTGGTTTTAACATTGATTACCTTGCGGCTTAATCCATGATATTTCGGGCCCACCAGGATGTCCCCTTTTAAATGCACTTTTTTGTGACTTGCAGAAACCAAATTCGGTAAAAAATGACTACTTATTTAGCATGTATTTTTTCACGTTGATTTTCGATGGTCCTATATATTTAAATATAATTTATGGGAAACATGCACAAACTATGCTTTCTTTTACTGGGGTGGTAGAAAATTACGTTGTCTTATCGTTTTATACTCAGCAAGAGGATATCTTTCGGTTTTAAAAAGTTTTTATTTATGAAGTTTTTAAGACCGTGCAATGTCCATTCATACAACATCATGCCTCTCCGTCTACTAATGTTCGTCATTAAGTGTGTGACATAGCCTCCATCCATTACAAAATTTTATGAACTCTATGTTGTATTTTTTAAAGGCATAGAGGAATATATGATTTTAGGCGGAAAACATGGTTTTAGAAACTGTAGAAACTGCGTCCTATTTAAAAAGACGGCGAAACGACGGGAGGTTTTCGAAGGAAACCTACCTCGTATAACTTTAAACAAAACTCAACTTCGTACGAGACTTCCCTGGGAAATAAACTCAGTCGGTTCACGTTAAAAAGGTTGCCCCAATTAATCTTAGCGTTGAATAATCATGACAAGATAAGCCGATAATGCAGCTATTTTTTTATGAACAGAGTATCCATAACTGTCTGAGGGAGATTTCATTAGGAAACCGGTCTGCCATGCCGCCCGAATTAAATTGAAAGAGTGTTTTACATCACCCAGTATCGCAACCCACTTCTACCGATTTTTACCACTTGTAAGTATGTGGTAATTTGGCTGCGGCGAACACCGCCGATGAGGTCTAATTTTAGCGCGACCGAATCCTCAGGATAAGCTTTTGAGATACGAGCGCTGGGTCTGTTGGCCCTATGACACGCCCCTGCTGGAGCGAATTATTTGCAACAAAGCGCTTCGATTAAAACATGCGTAATTTAAGGGCTTCTGGTTTTGCAGTTAACGTAAACAAACAAGATTGTTTTGTATAAAAGCGCGTCGGGAATCAACAGAAAGATGCATACTAATTAGGTAGTCACCTTTCGTCGAGTGCTGTTTTTGTATACAGTCGACTACTGAAGTAGCATGCAATTTCCTCATTGATTTTCGATGGCCTTGAAAATGCAATTATATTTCATGGAAAACACGCAAAAAATATTCATTCTTTTACTTATTCGGTAGAAAATCACGTCTTTTTCCAATTTCATGCTCAATAATAATAGTATAATTCGGTTTTAAAAAGTTTCTAATTGTGAGATTTTTTAATACCGTTAAATGGCCGTTCATGAAACGTCATGTATCTGCATTTACAAATTTGGCTTGTAAATTTAACAATATTGCTCAAATTCACTGCTTAATTTTATGAACCTCATATGGTCTCCTCTTAACACCGTAGAGAAATGCATGGTTTTCCGTACACGGAAGCTATACAGCTTGTGGTTTTGAAATCCTGAATGCAAGTGTAACGGCAGGTCGGGTTCAAAATTATTCGGGAATTAGAAAAGTTTTTTAAAACCGAATTGTACTCTTCTTTTGAGCATGAAATTGAAAGAAGACGTCAGTTTCTACCGAATAAGTAAACGAATTAATATTTTTATGCATGTTTTCCATGAAATATAATTGCATTTTCAAGGGCATCGAAAATCAGTGAGGAAATTGCATGCTACTTCAGTAGTCATTTTTTGCAGAGTATAGATCTTGCATGCAGCCGAAAATAAGTTCCTTCGAAAGCCGACACTCTGAGGTAACTGGATCATTACAGATTAATGCTGCACAATGATTAGTTTTACAACAATACTTAATTTACTTTTTCGAAACGAGAACGCATTTCGAAATTTTGCTTGACATTTCATGAGTTAGCACATCTACTGTATGCTATTACCGACAAAGACAAGGAAGACCGGAATGGCCAGTTCTGGCTTATTAGTGGTCGTGAGCCAGTCATTCCAACTCTGAAGTGTGGAAAATCTGGGGATCGATCTCACGCCCATCCACCATTGTACATTCCCGATCGCAACCGACAGGACAACGAGCTCGTGGCTCAGTGATTAAAGGCGTTGGACTTCTAACTGGCAGGTTGCGGGATCGAGCCCCAGGTGTTCCACACTTCGGCGTGGTGTATGACTGGCTGACGCCGGTTAATAAGGCAGAAATGATCATTCCAGTCTCCCTTGTCTTTGTCGGTAATACCATTCTGCCTCTATATCATGCGCCGCCGTGCGGCTGCTGGTTGGGCTCGGGAGAGAGCCTGCAAGGCACAACGGAACGAGTGAGTTCCGCGAACAGCGATCGGTGAGCGTCCCTACACCATAATCAATATTACAACTCCTCTTAAGCGATTCTTATTAAGCGAAAAAGCATTTTAAACTCTGGCTGAATATTTCATGTGATCGGACGCTGACGGCGGACACCCAGACAGAGGTCATTGTTACTCTCAATAGCTAACCACGCACCGGACCAACGGGTGAGACAGCGAACGCACGCTGATTGGTCGGCAACATTGCCAGAGCTCCGCATCGGTCCGGCTTTGCGGGGGCCCTTCGGTGTGTGCCCAATCCGGCGTGTTTAAGTGGGCTTGCTGTTCACTTTTCAGGCTCTCCTTATCCTGTGTTTAGAATATGATTTCAGAATCAGAATTTATTTTGAAATCGTGCGAATATAAACCATAAACCATGAGTAAGTGCATGCACGGGAAGAAGTGGGGTAAAAATGCACGCTTAGGCTAAAATACCGCTTAAATCGCGAGAACTTGGATAAGGTAGAAAGCTACTACGAGATTAATAGGAAGAACGCAAAGGAGTGAGATACCGAGCGGTCCTGGGCAAATTTCACATTATGGCTTTTTAAAAATTGTTTCAGCAATGCCAGGGGATATCTACCTACGACTTCTCCAGTTGACAATCCTTCCGCTGATCGCGTCGAATATTCTCCTGGGTTTGTTTATTCTTCTATTTTTTTCCTTTTACTCGCATGCAACAGTTTCTCATGCAAATGCCATTCAAAATACAAGGGGACAGACCAGTGCTGGGAGGTTTAGTGTGAAGGAAAGGTCTCGACAGGCATTGTCAATATTATAGGATGTCAATATATAGGATGGTGACCGGCAGTAAAATGAGCTCGTGGTCCAATGGTTGGGGCGTTGGACTCCTAACCAACAGACCGCAGGTTCGAGTTTAGGGGCTGCAAAGCCTGGGGTGGAGTACAGATGACTGGTGAATGCCAATAAGTTATAAGTGGTCATTCCTGTTTCCGTTGTCTTTCTTGTAGTGCTATTCTGCTCACTGAACTCGTAACGAGAGCGGCGAAAGCCCCCTTACCATTATATATATGTATATATTGCATAAGCAGCTCACTAAAAGTGTCACAGGCCGGACGCAGACAGCTGTTTCACAGTCGTTACCGATAATCAGTACGTCGTGGGCCTCATATATAAATATATATATAATAAGTAATAATAATAAATAATATATAAATATGTGTATATATGTGGACATTGATCTTATATCATAGCAATTGCCCACGAAATGTAAAAACTTGATTTCTCCAGGCCTTCGGGGTTTGCATCCCCCGCCCCAGAGGTGATTTTACGGATGTCTCAAATAATTATTTAATAAATCGATGTGATTAAAAGCATTGTACCTCTCGGTCGGAGCCACGAAGCTCGAGTGGTTAGAGCGTCGGTGGTGCGCAGGCCTCGAACTCTCTGTTGTGAGTTCAACTCTCACGGAGGCCTGAAATTTTTTCGAAAATGGGTCAGATGAGATTTATTCAAGTCGCTTAAGGCACAATGTCTCCCGCCCCCTTTACTTAATATCTACACGGTCGATGCAACTGGGCAGGCCCTGCGGCGTTACTCCGCGCGTTTGGTGCCCCTACTGATGCGAGGCGACTGCATGACCTAGCCGCAAGGAAAGAGACACGATCGTTGGAACAAGACCTTTATTAGCCTGACGTTTCGGATTCTCACTCGAATCCATCATCAGAGACGGAGTCAGGTAAGGGTAGTGGATTGCCCATGTGCTGTAGCATTTATACGATGGAGCTGCTAGGCCGCTACATGCCTATCACAGTTGGCAGCTCCCAGGTGCATTACAACTTGACTGACCAGATGTCGAAGCATGCAATTCCTATGTGCCCGTGTGCCAGTCAAGATTATCGACTCTCATGCCCATCGCAAACAGTCGAGTTGTTGACCGCCGGATTTCGTTATCTGTGTGGAATCTTGGGCAATTTGGCTCGCTGACACTGACACCAGGAACAGTGCTCATCCGCACGCTCTCCTTGCGGCTAACTGCTTTGCCTAGGCAGAGTGTCAGCAACGAATATGGAGCGGGGAGGTCGTTGCGATTGTTCATTAATTGAGGATCGGAAAATCATGACTCGAGCAGTTCACGGCTGACGCAGTTTTTGCCTCTAACAAGAATTTATGCTTCGTCAAACTTGAATGTGTGGTTGGGTCCCTTGAATGAGTCGCGACGTGGGAGCTGGCGTCGTTCCTCCTCGCTGCTGCTGCTGCGTTCTCGGCAATCTGCTGCCGGTGTAGCCTTCCCGTTTCCGACCCGGATTAACCTTAATTAGGCACATTCATCTCTTTGAACGGTCGTATAACGTGCAGAGGAAGAGTAATAGTTCTCTAATGATAGCGAGTTACCTCTCCGCAGCACTACTTTCATAAAAGGTCCTGTCTGGTTAAACCGGTCCCCTCAATAAAATGGACAATAAGAGTGCGTTGTAATGCAATCCTCGTGGATAATAAAACTCCTAATCTCTTCTCTGGACAGACGTTTAGCAGGTCAGAATGAACGTACGGTCGCATAAAGTTCAGTGACAGAGTAATATTCCTCTACTGATAGCGCGTTACGTCCCTCTACAGGGCTTCTGTCATTAAAGGTGTGGTCGTGTCTCATTAAAATCGTCCCTTCCCAATAAAATGGGCAATAAGAGTGCGTTTTAATGTAATTTTCGTGGAAAGTAAAACTCCTAATCTCTTCTCTGGACAGAGGTCTAGCAGGTCAGAATGAACGTCTTAGTCACGTTGGCGGTCATTAAACAATAAAGTGTCTGACTGTGCCCCTAAGATCACGACATGATTGGTTAACTTGATTATTCTCTCGCCAAAATTGTAAGGCCGGAGCTTTTTGTTCGAACTATACGGTTAAACTTACAAGGTCGGCACATAGGCGTTTATCAGTAGATTGCGCCCCGGCAGAAGACTTTTTTGCTCTTTGACGGCGCAAATTACTGATGCTCCTACGTGGGTCAACCGAAACCGATCGAAGTCTATTCAGCCATTGGAGGACCTGTTTTCCGGCAGGCTACCTGCCACTACTCATAAACCCCCTATCGAACATTTTAGATGCTTGTTACCTACATTTATGGCTGTTTACCGGCTGACCGTCCACGGCTTCTTCAACTTAGCGGATTTTTGTTGGACAATCTAACAGGAACTTCAATTCAACCTCCATTACCGCTTGATGCTCCCCGTATCTTACGATAACTGCTGACAGAACTGCTGCTTTTAAGTTGTCCGTGCACACGTAGTCATGGTGACAGAGAACACCGGACGCAGTATTCCTGAAGCTTGGGTTTTGTTCTACTCATAAAACTAGCAATGAATAAGGGGACAACGACAAATACAGGGAAAGGCGATACGGTCGTTTCTGGTTTGTTAGCCGTCGTCAGTTGGCTATGCTTAACCACATGTCTGGATGGCACGGGATCCGAACTCAGGCTCTTTGGCCACCGGGTACTAGGCAATCCAGCCATCTACCATTGAGTCAAGGATCTGTTGTCTTCTCGGTCTTGATCGTGACTATTAATTATGGCAGAAGGACGCGGAACGAGCACGTCTCGCAACCTGGCCGGTGAGCGCCCAACCAACATTTTTAATAGCGCCTCATACTCTTAGCAGGGTACTAGTAAATAACTGGAAATCACTCATCTATAACTTCCTGATACAGTCATTAAGCTATCTAGGCTCGAATAAGCCAGTTTTAAATCTTATTAACCACGTACTGACCCACTCAAAAGGGCGCGGTGCCATAGGAGCACTTTTATTTTCATGACTGATACTTCAAGATTAATCTGGTATTTAATACTTCAAATGGGTTTTTATCTCCTTGCTTAATCCATCTAAATTCGCTCCCCGTTGCAATCACAATAATTTGGCACAGTATGAGATTATTTGTTTTGTCGCTCGGGATGAGAACGACGCTAACGCTGATTGGCCATGAAAGTTACCTCCAGTCAAAGCATCCGCCTCCAAATTAAACACCATGGAACGGAATCCGCAAACACACAGCCCAAATTGAACTTGTTGATGCTAGTGCCGCACTGATGGGTTGCGTCTTAGTCTTCAAATCCCTGAGTCGGGATAATTACGAGGAAAACGGTGGAGGATACCCCGGCGCTGAAACCAGGTCGGCGAAAAATAACTACTCACCGAGGGCACCTGCAGTTAATGTCTGTTATCGGTAGAGAAGGTGTACGAGAGAACGGCCAGGCTGAAGTATAATCACCCATCCCCTTGAAATGAATCCCCTGATCGCACTGTGGACACGGAAACGCCCAATACCACTCCAACGCAACTACTACTGAATATTGCACCATCTCTGTTTAAAGTAAAGTCCCATTATGTTTCCCGTGGAAAACTACCAGGGTTTTTTTGGGACTTTGGGAGGTACATTGTCTCTAAAGTAAACAAAGATGATAAACATATACATTCAAGTGTATCCTTTTCAGTGTAGATAGCTAAAGGTTGCCTGTACTACTGCAACCTGAGTAGGCGAAATTTGAAAAGTAACATTTCCGACGTCTATGACCCAATACGGACGTTGAGTTGCGTAAGGATGAATTTCAAGCAGCAGTTTTTTTATATTCTAGTGGAAGCAGCGGGCTGTTTTCTTTGCCTCTACTGCCCACTGCTTTTCCAAATAACTTGTTCAAATAGGACTGAAGATTGAGAAAGAACCCGCGAGTGTCACATTGATTGTTCGTCACGATTTTAGGGGTGACACTGCGGACCGGAGACCGAGGTCTTGTCTGATCCCTCCTCCCTAATTTCCATTAGATGGCTTTCTAGGTGTGCTTTTCGCCAGCGTCGACGAGGCTCTACAACTTGAAGTACCTTAACAGTGGCGTAAATCGATGCATCCTGACGGGAGGACCACAGTAGTCCTTCCTTCCACGCCCATGGATCTCCAGATGTAGACTTCACGCGCAGGGGCTGCATGGTGACTAGCAGGGCATTGTCGGTTGGGTTGACTTATAGCCATTTCCTCTTTGTCAATAGGAGCGAAAAGGCGAGTCCCAGGAAGCAGTCCTGAAGGAGGAGACACCATCGATGGGACAAGAGTTTTATTAGCCTGACGTTTCGGATTCCTGCTCGAACCCATCATCAGAGACAAAAGCAGATAGGGGTGGTTCATTGCACAGTTGGACATTTCCCAACACCAGGGTCGGCGCGTCAGATGGTCGAGCAATCATTACACCAACATCCAACGCACGTGATAAGATTGCAGCAATTAACGACGCAAAGGTCGGCCATCAAACAGTCATCACATCAAGTGCAACGATCCCTAATGAAGGGGGGATTCGTGAACATTCATAGGTATGCGGTATCATGGCGACTGCATCCTATAAATACTGCTGCATCTTGTTCATGAACCACCAGTATCTGCTTTTGTCTCTGATGATGGGTTCGAGCAGGAATCCGAAACGTCAGGCTAATAAATCTCTTGTCCCGGCGATCGTGTCTCCTTCATTCTCTCTTTCCTAAAATAGTGTCCCAGGCCACTTATGATATGGCTGATTTACCGACGTCCTTGTGCTATCTACCAATCAATCTTCCCACCTTTCTGCACGCTAAATAACCCTTAACTAGGAGTATAGAAGAAATGTATTAGACTTCTCTTGAGCGAGAAAATCACTTCCTTCTACCAGTTGTGAGGTAATGAGGTTGGGTTCAACAATCTCCTTTTGAATTTTTTTATTTTCCGATGCTTTTCTTAGACAGTCTGTAACCAATAGGGATTTCAAAGACGTCCTCCTATCCTTCCCTTAATAAAACTGAACTGAACACCCGGCGTGGCATGATAGGCTCTCGCTCTTCTCTCTATCTCTCTCTCTCTCTTTCTGTACCACTCACATACGGCAGTAGTTGAAGGCTCCCGCAAGCTTAATTCAGCTAGACCAACGCGTGCCAGAGGCCAGTAATGAACTCTGTGGGCCTAACCGTTCCAAGTGACATTCTGGGGTAGGGGGTGAGGGCGTAGCCATAATCCAATACAATCCAACAAGTGTTGCTACCTCAAACGCACACGGACCATCCCAAACCGACCATGCTCCAACTCCGGAAGGACACCTGGCAGCTAAATTCGAGTCGGTTTTTTGTCGAGCATTTTCAAGCCAAATGCTCTGTTACTCGCAATATGAACTCAGGTCCCGTTAGTTGACTGCTAGTTGTATTGCAACGACCGTAGATGGATCTATACGGGCAGTTTTGGTAACTGAAGCACCATGAGAAACCACATGGGGACGTCGGAGTTGGAGGGGAGGGGAAAGAGGGATGGTTATATTTCAGTCTTGCCAACGCAACGGCTTATTATAAGGCGGGACGCGTCTCTACCATTTTAGGCCTATTGACCTGCAGCGTGGGATGGAGGGGAAGTGCGCATCAAACTTCTGCATGACGGGATAAGGCCAAGTTTTTTGCGATCAGCGAAGGGTATAAACTGTGTGCAGAAAGACGTCATGTGCCCGGCAAAGTGAATGCAAAACCGGTGGCCTGCGAATGTAAGACTTTATAAAGAGGCGGGCTTGCACAGTGCCTGCTGCACTCGCTCCTCCTCCGCCCACTTTGCACCGATTGCAAGAAAATGTCGTAACAACGACATTTTGGCGGCTGACAAAAAATGAACAGCTCCTCTATGCGTGCCACACACACCAATTGGTCCTCAAGGACAGCTTGGATCTCATACACGTGGTAGCGCCCCGTCAATAAGGAGCCATTGAGCCTGATTCTCAGTGCAGTGGTGGGTCGTGATAGCTTCAAGCGCACGAAGACGTAGATGGCAGTCACGTGAAGGACGTTTCATGCCAGAGCCACACAAACGTGAATGCAGTGAACCGATATAGACGACGGCGCAGTTCAGATCAGCGTGAGAGAGTGATTTCAGATGAGATTTTCGGAAGTCGCAATAATTAGAGCTAGCTGACAGTGGCAAGTGTCGGAGGTACGCGAACGTGAGGAAATCATCCGTGAAGTAGAAAAGAGTTCACATAACATGCGAAAGGGTTTCACCAGACAAGTCAACGCAACCACAGCAAGTGCATGACATGGTGTAGATAACGAGCCAAGGGACACCTTTCGCGAGAGGCCTTAAATCCTCTGGTTCACCGTGTGCGCCGCAGTCGGTGGAACACGACTGCAACCACAGCACTTCGATCCTGTTGGGCATATGCTCCTTTCATCGGGAGTCAATGGGGATAGGCCTTTATGTCTGATTTTGCCCGCTTTACTCCCAAGGACGAAGAAAGTCAGCTTTACTTTTGGATTTTTGTAACACAACGGCCATATACTGAAGTTCGGTTAACTGATAGAAATTCTGGAGGGGGCGACAATTTCAAACATTATGATTCTTAGATGTTTTTGGCAGATTTTGAATAATTCAAATTGACCCAACTGTGAAAACCTCGGCGCCCCGGTGGGATTCGAACCCATGCAGTAAGGGGAAGGCTTTAGTACAGTCAACGCTCTAACCACATGAGCTACGAGGCCCCGCCGGACGACGCGAGTCTAGTAGCATTTGGATCAAGTTACCCGCCCAACCTACTGCAACGTCAGGAATACACCAAATCGGATACAGTAAGTTGACTGCCCAAGCGGGATTTCCTAAGTGATTCGCCTAGAATCCACCAGCTGACTACCAGGCTCACATAATTCATGGATGTCTTTGGCAGATTTTGAATAATTAATATCCACCCTTTAGGATTCTACTGAAGGACGTTAGACGGATCGGCAATTTTGAGTTTATGGTTTAGGAAACTGATTGTTAGTCGATTCAGCCCGGCTACAGATTCGATGTCGTAAGACCTGAAGATCTGCTAATTTTCGGAAGGACCAATAGGACCTTATTTCTGGACACAAACGCGTTTTTCGCACAGCCTGCAAAACCTAGGACACACCAGCCGGCAGGCTTTTTAAGCGTTCACAAAAGCGCTCATTCGGGTCTACAGAGACCCATTATTTAAGCTAACCGACTGAAAACGTTAGATGTCAAGCGTCGCCTCAAATACACGGAGGCTCAAATAAGCCCTAGCTCCTGTCTGTTCCTGGAAATACGTGAGTTTAGAAAGCAAAATCGTTTGTGACTGCGTCTAGAAACCTTTTTTACTGAGCGGTAAAGTATGATGAGGCCTTAAGTAGAAACTCTAAAGAAGTGTTTATTTTTTTAAACAAACGTTAAACCGACTCTTTTGACCCCTTTAGTGATTGCTGCTCTGGATCCGAAGAAAAATGGACGGATCAGCATTATTGGGGTGTCCTATGTGGTCCTGATAAATCTTCTGGGCGCAGTCATCGGCACAGTCTGTGCCTCAATTATCAAACCAGGTACGTTTCTGTCGCGATGTTGTGAATGAGATGATGCATTGCTGCGTGTGTGAGTTTACATTCGAAAGAAGCTCTCGACTAATTAAAAGGGTGTAACCTGACAAGGAATTGGTATTCATAATACACCACATGTAAAAAGTGCAAAAAAATGGTAAAGCGACCGCTCGATGGGGGCCGGAAGGCGGCTTCCAGGAGGCAATTTAGAAGAGGAATACTCGACAGTCTGAGCGGGCATCTCATCAGAGGCAATAGGAGATATGAGTAGGAGAAGCTCAAGGGTTTGTTGTATGCATGGGAGGTGGTCGCTATGTCGTCAAGCATTTACTAAACTAAACAGAAACCGCATATATCGATGGTTGTTATGGTTAGAGTAGTAACGTCTCAACTATTCATACCGTAGTTGGTGACTGTCACCATTTCACTAGCAGTAATAATTGTTGGTGTACTATTTGGTCGGCAGTTTGACTCGCCGACGCGGTCAACGGAAGTAGTGTTAGTTCTCATGCTTCCCGTTTGCTTATGCGAAGCCTGAGGACTGAATATTAAGGGGAGATAGAGCTGCGCTTGTTAACTGACTGCGGGTCGGAGACTTAGGACGTAAGGAGCTCACAACTCACGCGGCTGTTACGACTCTCGTACAGTTTGGGCGTGTGATTAGTTCGTGTCAAATGAAACGCGCCGCGAGAGCTGGCCTCATCTCCATCGCTGTTGCTGCGTGCTCGGTCATCCGCGTCCGGAATACTCTCTGATTCAAGTTGCCTTCGAACGAGACAAGGTGTATGTCGGTCCCATTATTTGGCGCCTGATGGTTGCCTTCGGTCCTTGTTAAACCGCAGCCCCGAGTGGCATGAGAATGCGGTTGACGGCTTCTGAGACGTGCCTGATGTACGGAGCGCTTGCAAAAATATGACTGCGGTGAAATTTGACCTTGTGTCCTCTGCCCGTGCAGCAGTAAACATTCGTTCGGATCATCCGTTGAAAGTGTTGTGATTTGTAAACCGTGACGTTTGATTTACTGCAGCGCGTTCCAACGCGCCGATGCAGTCCTCGCGCAACTGCGTTTGTGGTTGAAGCTCAGAGCTCCCTTGGTATTTGTTTCTTTCTTAAACTATGGTTTCTATGCGACCAAAATGTTTGCTGCAGTAGTGGACACAAAGGAGTAACTTCAGGTTGGGACCGTCCTTCTCCATCGGGAAATATATGTCCAGGAAGTCCGTGCTAAGATGTTTGTTAATCCCGTTCGATGACTCCTAAGGCACTGTCTACAGATGGAGCCCAACGTTTTCGGTGTGCGACGCTGAAAGACTGGTGAATCCAACAGCTTCGAAACCACATCGGTCACGAGTTCACAAATCGGCGAACCAGGTGATGTGTCTTTCATCTGCTCGTTAACTGTCTCGTCAAACGTGAAGTAGTCCTCGTGGTAGAACTTCAGCACCTGGAAGATTTAAGCAGATTCTGCGGAATTGAAGTAGACACCTACGTGATGCCAATAGAAGCGAAGAGACGACTCCCAGGAAGTAGTCTTAAAGAAGGAGACACGATCGCTGGGACAAGAGCTTTATTAGCCTGACGGTTCGGATTCCTGCTCGAACCCATCATCAGAGAAAAAAGCAGATACGGGTGGTTCATGCACAAGGGGCTGCAGTATTTACAGGATGCAGTCGCCATGATACCGCATACCTATAAACGTTCACGGCTCCCCCCTTCATCCGGGATCGTCGCACTTGGTGCGTTAATTGTTAGATGGCCGACATTCCCGTCGTCAACTGCTGCAATTTGGGCACTGCCGCCAAAGAGGACAACTCCCGGTTCTGTGCACAATAAACCCCTCATTCTGGTGCATTTTGTCTCCCTACAAATTGGGATCTGACCCGACGACGGTGGCGCACAGACAGGGACACACTCACACCGCCTGGTCACAAATCTTTACTTCCGGGTCGTATTAGCCGTTAGGAGTGGTCTCTAATTTTCGTTTGTATATTCTGCTCTGACGCAGATCGGTCGATTATAGCTTCTAATCCCTTTTTGTTTAATTTAATTTTAGGGAGTGCTTGAAAGGTCTGATGTGTTTTTATTTTCTAGGAAGCAGACAACTGATTACTCCGCCCTCATCATCCGGAAATAATGCCCTAACAGGAACCGGTCTCACGGCCTCGGATGTTTTTCGTGACATGTTTTAGTAAGTTGCCATTTGCTTTGTTGGGGATCACCTTCGGAGCCCATTTTCTGTCTACTTTGAGGTTGTAAACTACGGAATAGAACTTGGAGGCGTTTATCTACTGGGAGAGCCGACTCGAATCGGCAACGGTAGGGTGTATGACCACAATTAACGCGAGGTAGCCAGTGGACCGTGTCATACGGAAATCGTGATAGAGAGGGTTTTACGGGCGGGGCGAAACCTAGGACAGAGAGCAGGCGCAATGCAAGAAAGCGCAGAAAATAACTACATTTCCGTCGAAAGCCTTGACAACGAAGGTGAGCTCATTAGTAAAGAATTTAAGGAAGGGTCACAGTAGAGTTTTAGAACGCCGTGTAGATGGCGTATGCAAAACGGTTCACAGGCTTCCGCAAGTTAGTTGGGGTCATACACCCAACCGTTGTTCTCTAATCTAGTGCAGCATGCCGAAAGTAGCATATTTCCTGGACAGGAGTACCGGCGAATATGAGCTAGGGATTAGGATGGCTATTTTTTATTAACTGACCGCCGTCAGGCAGCCAAAAATAGTGTGTTTTCAGGAGAAAAGTGTCGACAAAGACAAGTGAGAGAGAGAGACTAGGATGGCAACTTCTGATTTACAAATCGTCGTCAGCCAACCCCACCTAACTCCAGACCTGAAGGAGCTAGGATTCGAACCCAGGTCATCGTGAATTGAGCAGTCCAATGCTCCACTGTTGAGCAACGGATCTGTTGACTTGTCGATTGGGATCAGGAATAGCACCCAGGATGGCAGGGCGTTCACCGTTATTCCTCCCCTGCCAATATTGTTGGTCACTATTTGACTCCATGCAAAAGCACCTGATTGGCCTCTAAGGCGCATCGGATTGTGCATTGGGGCACGCGTTAAGGAGATCAAATTCTACCGCAGGCAAAATTTTTACAAGCGCTTTGTCCATCCAAAAGACAGAAAACATACACCTGTTCTTTCGCGAGCCTTGTACGTCAACTTTTCAGCGTTCAAAATTTTTAAAGCGGCCTTTGCGGGGCTTTTGTGGTTGTTTTGAGGAGGAAAAAGCAAAAAGGGAGTGCTGTATGTGTGGTGTCAGTGTGTGAAGAGTGCGTTTCACTTTAAATTAACTTGATCGCGGCAGTAATTTGGCGAGTTGGTCTCCTAGTACTCCTTTGGCACCAAACAAACTGTCCATGTGGTTTCATAGTCGGACCGTGAGTGAAGGGGAAGCCTTTAAAGAGCTCGTTAGGGCATGTTCTTGCGCAGCCGTTCAAGTGGCAACATAGTTACGTTGTTCTCGCCCTTTATTTTAGCAACCTCTTCCCCGACAACATTGTTGGAGTGACTATATTTCAGGTAACACCAACTTTTTTGTGCGTCCAGATATTTAACCCACATTTTTCACTGGATTGATGCTGTAAACTGACCTAAGAAGGACCAAAAATGAGTCCGATGTGGGAAAGAAACAGTTCATTCTTGAAAACCGCATGGTAGGGATAGTCGTCTCACTGTTCTGAGTTCGCAGTGAAATACGGCGGTCTTGTTTCAGTGTAGTAAGAAACACTTCCTGAAACTCACATTTTCGCTCTGATCGGTGGTATTGGTGTTACAGTCTGCACAGACGGAGTGTCCGATGTAAGTCTCCACGAACAATTTACCCGGGTTGGAATCCCGAGGTTTGTCGGCCTGAGGTTGATTTACAGATGACTGACGCTGGTTAAACGTACTTATTTTACTCCAGTTCTCATGTGAACTGAAGACGTTAAGAAGGTCCACGATGAGGTCATGCTGATCTGAACGGCATAAGCAGCCGGTCCACCCATTTACCCACTCATGGGTCTACAACTTTTATTTATGTCATTCCTGACCTCTAAGACCCGTTGACCCGCACTTACAAGTGGTGTTTTAATGAAACGTTTATTGGTTCACGCGAAAATAATCTTTTTAAATTTTAGTTTCGAACTGAAGTGGTCAACGTTACGACAATGGAAAAAACAACTGTTTCAAACAAACCCGGGACCAATATGATCGGTAGGTTTTTCAACTCATCTTAGTAAACAGTATTTTGTTGCCATTGGCGAGTCCTTGTTGAGAGGGGGTGCAGAAAAATAACTGCGATTTTTTCCTATTTAAGGAGTTGCGTTAGGTGAAATACTCAAGGCCCTTCATAAGTGCAATTGGGGTAACAGACATCGGGGTGGATTTTAGATGCGAGGTGACTGCCGGACGATTCCGTTATTGATGGAAAGCGGAACGCGGTCACCGAAAGTCATTTCGTTAGGGGAATTATCAGTCACAGAACACCAGAGGGAGAGTTCCATCGTAGCAGTACGATTGAGGTCCGGCACAGCGAGTAACGCTGGAGAGTGGCTCCTAGCCTCCTAATGGTACCAGCACCCTTCGAACATGGAATTCCAGAGGGGTTGGACTGACTTATGTGGACGTCTAAGTAGAACACGAGAACAGGAGCCAACTGTCATACGGGTGGCTTCTAGCCAGCTTCCAGTCAAATTAAGGTTGCGGTTAAGGTTAGGGCTAACGTTTAGTTAGCGGTAGCGATCAAATTTAGGGTTAAGGTAGGGGTTAGTGTCAACTGCAGACTTAAGGTTTAGAGTAGGGTAACGGTCAAGATTATGGCAACGGTTCAGTTTTCTATCAGGGTTGTTGTTTGGGTTAGGATACAGGAATATCTGGTGCAGGTCTAACTTTATTACATGTGCGGGGCGTACCTCTTCCAATGTCCTCTTCGGGCGGCCACATGCGTCAGTCCCGCTCCAAGACGTAATTCCCACCTTAAAAATGTCATACTGACTGCATATTCGCCCAAAGGCTCACCTGAGGACCGTGAAGCCCAACTCGCACTATTTCAGCTTCAGCCTTGCCGGGATGTGTTCTTGGTGGATTAAAGAAGGCTGACGACGGTATGAAGATCAGCTGGGCATCCCGGTAGTATGTTATCCTCAACTGAATATGAGAGGGGATTCAACCAATCTCAGTAAAAGCTAGAAAAAAAAGGATTGCGAGGAATCGTAGGTTATCCGAGTAGGACACTGGAACAGGGATTCCATCGTACTGCTGGTAGCCTTGGACCAAATTCCAGAGAGAGTAGGGTTAGGACCTGGGGAATTGGTACCCTGCCAGGAAGTTAGTGCGAGGTCACATGATTTACCGGTGGGATTCTTGTCCTTTATTGCCCTGATATTTGGACAGAAACCAAACTTGTATCCTAGGAAGATAGTGCGACGTAAGGTGTGGCTATGGAGCCTCACCTGATGGACACAATACTGTTGACCTACTTAAGTATTTTGAGTTAGTGTGATTACGTTGGCCTGGTGTTGCTGTGCGTTGTGGCGTGTGTTCTTTGTTGTCTTGCCTACCACTTTTGGCCCAATGTCGGCGGTTCTTCTTGGCTGTCGGCCCGTCATCTCCTTCTGACTTTCGCGTTAGATGCTTCAGGGTTAGGATTCAGGGCTGCGGTCAAGGGTTGGGTTTAATGAGCTAGGGTTTTGGTTGTGGTTAGGGATTAGGGGGTTAGGGCCAACAGTTAGGGGGGCTGGGGTTAAGGGGTGAGGTTAGGACAAATATTTCTCAATCATTCAAAGTACAACCGCACATTCCCAATAGCTTTTCTTTTGCAATTACTTGATTTCGTCGCCTGTGCATTCCCCGACCCCACCTGTAAAAACACCTGTTACCATCGGTCCCGTATTACACTTGGCTGGGGCTTTTTACCTCAGGTGCGGCTACATAACCATATCTGACCTAGTGCGACACCATATTCCTAGGATTTAGCAGTACTCGTGACTCGTGCAATTTTATGTCCACTCAGGTCGCGTGATCTTTTGCCATGCTGTCTTTGTAAAGCGAACAGCATCTTTTTGGTTTGAGAACGATCAAACCCGCCTAAAGGCCCATTGATATAGCTGATCTATGAGCAGCCCTCCGTTTAAACCTGCCCTTCGCCAACTTTGCGCAGGCCTCTACTAACCGGCTTGGCTTTGCATGACTTAGAGCTCAGTAGAGTAGTTTGTTTAAATAAACAAAATGGATGTACGATAGGGATGTTGTAAGATCCGATCTAAGAGATGTCTTACCGACGGACGCCCTGGGTTTTACTGACTTTTGCATCTGCCTGTAAAAAGTATTGATGTCGCAAACTGCGTCACCGGCCCATGACCTCTGGAGAGCCAATCAGATGTCAGACTGAACAATGTGGCACTAGTTGACCTTGAGAAGGCAGCAGATGACGATTGGGTAAGCGCCAGTGCGCGTGATACGGCAAATGTCGGGGGTGGGGGTGAGGGAGTGGTGAATTTGACGTATGTACGTGTACTTAGGAAAAATATTTCCCGGGAAATTCGGTAGGCGACGTAAAAGATTTGAGCTTTCACCTCTGAGTGCAGTTGGAATACTTGATTTAACCGCTTTTTTCTTCTTATTCAAGGTGTACTGTTTGTGTCGATTGTATTTGGCGCAGCGGCTCGCGCCAGCAAGGAGAAGGGGCAACCCTTTCTGGACTTCTTCGCATCCCTGTCTGAAGTTGTGACCAAAATTATGCGGGCTTTTCTCAAGTAAGTACCACCTCCCCCAAGTTATTTATGAAAGGAAAGTTGCCTAGCACTGAACCCCATCTCAGTTCCGATGTAGCATTCTCAACTGAATGCTGCAATTACTTTTGCTGCATCTAACCAAAGTCTGAGATATCCCATATTGATGACAAAGAATATATAATCCACACACGTACACACGGGGATGGGGATAAACTTTTGCTTCTACTTGAAAAAATATCGACCACTGACTGCGATATAATTGAGGGATGCTCACCGATCGCAACTGACTGGACAACGAACCCGTGGCTCAAAGGTTGGGGCGTTGGACTTCTAATTACGTGGTCAAGAGTTCAGGTCTCGGGGATTGTCCCCCTGGGTCGGGTATGATTGGCTGATGACGGCTGACAGAGCAGAAATGGACATTCCAATCTCCCTTGTCCCTGCCAGTAATGTCATTCTGCCAGCGAGTATTGTCTTTGAAGACGCAAGCATGTTGATGTGACCTTGCCTGGAGTCCAAAGTTAGGCCCGCCTTAATGACGGCTACCATAGGTCAAGCTAAGTGTAAGAAACAATAAAAAGGCTTTATTTTATGTCGGAGCCTTAAAATACCGACTCGGTAACGCGCGTTTTGCAGGCGGGTCGAACGGGTGCGAGTGTCTAGGTGGGTCGGCGCAGTGGCTCCCACAACGGGCTGGGCTGGGTACAACTGCCTCACGGCACGCGTTTATCGAGCTACGCTCAGTCTGCAGGAACCCCTAACTACTGTTATACATGCATTTGGTAGCGGCCCCTAGACGCTGGCTTCCACCCTGCGTCAGATACTGCCTCCACAACCCCCTTACTGGTTGGTTGACATCCCTGGACAGTCAACTGTTGCATGAGATAGGGGGAAGAGGTAATAAGAGCGACGCCGGAGAATCCATCCCCGCGTCACGCCAGCACATTCCTCACTAATAATAAATCTAACGCGCTTTAATCTACCGCGAAGCGCTAAGAGTCTTGCCTCGACTGGTTGTCATCTGACAGATTAGCAGGGTCTTCACGACGACCGAGAATAAGATCTCAACATCTTCTCAATGTGACCTTGGCAAGATCCTATTTCGTAGCCGTACCTGTTAGGGGTTAATGGCTGGGGTTGGGGTTAGGGTCAGGCTGGGGCTAGTCTACTGCAGGTACGACTAATAAATAAGACTCGACCGTGACCTTTATGGCATTCTCGTGCATGTAAAATGCGAACCGACCTAGCAGAGAGCCGGTACATACAGTGAGTGAACGATCGCCCGAAATGTTGGCTGAAATTCTGAAATGAGTTTTCGATTAGCAAGGATTACTTGGGCGCGGTTACAATACTGATTATCTTGTGGCATAATCCTATGCTATTTCGAGCTCGGCAGGATATCAGCTTTTCAATCTCCTATAGAAGCCGTATTCGGTAAAAGATGACTACCTAGGTAACATGCATTTTTCACCTTGATATTCGATGGTCTCATAAATTCAAACATATTTTCTAGCAGCCATAAACTAAATATGCATTTTTTAGTCGTTTGATAGAGAATTACGTTTCCTTTATATTTTATACTCAAAGATGTATAATTAGGTTCAAAACATTTTTCATTATGAGATTTTTTAAGGCTGCGCATTGTCTATTCGCATTGCATCGTATCTGGCCGTTTACCACAGCTCCTCATAAAATGTAGAACATTGCCCTCCTCCATTTCAAAATTTTATGGACTCTATATGGTATCTTTTTAAAGGCATAGAAGAATATGTGATTCTCTTTACACGGACGCATGCACCTTGTAGACTGAAATCACACTAAGCGCTTATGCAACAAATTATCAGGCTCCAAATTATTCGGCAATTAGAAAACTTTTAAAACCCTAATTATACTCTTTCTTTGAGTATAAAATATAAAGAAGACGTAATTCTCTATCAAACGACTGAAAGAAAGCATATTTTTGTTCATGGCGTCTATAAATATATTTGACTTTGCAAGACCATCGAAAATCAGGGGGGAAAATGCCTACTACGTAAGTAGTCATCTTTTACCGGACACGGCTTCTACGGGAGATTGGAAAGCAGTGTATTCAAAAGCCGACATCCTGCCGAGCTCGAAATACTATAGGATTATGCTGCAAGATAATCAGTTTCGCAACCGCGCCTAAGTAATCCTTCCTAATCGAAGACTCATTTCAGAATTTCAGCCAACGTTTCATGAGATCGGTCACTTACTGTAGCACTAGATGCCGTGCAAGTCTCTTGCACCTGTATCGTGGGACACTGGGTGGATGTCGTCGCTTGCGACGGTCGAATTGTCGTCGCACTGCCCGTCTACTGTTCGATCAGTTGGCCACGCCTGCATGTCTGTGATTGGCCAAGTGAAAAATTAAAGAAGCATAGGTGCCCTAGTTTGTGAAAGTGTGCTCGCCCCATGACGCCGAGCGTCCGAGTTGGACGCGCCAGGCAGAGAGTGAGTCGCAATTCCTTCGCGCTGGACTGGCGTCTCGAGTGTGGACATGCTGGATCAGACGGATCGATCATGTACGTAACTCAGCAGCCAAACGTCCAAAACACGTGTCATGCGATCAAGTCGGCGACTTTAGCTATTCCACAAAAAAAACAAAATCATTTCCGAAAATGAACCACAGAAAAAAGGCTAGGTGGAGGCGGTACCGTTAGACAACTTCCCCAGTAGGGCGCATTCCAAGCCAAAAAGTACGATACCGGCTCACATGTGTCGGTCAAATGTCCCACATCGGTGCCACCGGGCAAATGGATCCCAAGGCGTATCAGCTGATGTGCAGAAGACGATACTGACTGATAGGCGCCATGGCTCGCGCGGGAATACCGACATGGGGCATGCCATTTACCGAGGACGTACTTCAGCGTACCGCCCAGCATACCATTAACCCCCCTCCGCACTGGGCACATTCCATCCGACCGTTTCAAGAGAAACTGGCTGAGAATACCGCGATTACGATGTCTTCTTATGCAGGTCGCATCCTGATTTGTCAAGACTCTAATGGCCGCCTCAGTGTGCTCAATTGGCTATTAGGGGGCGTTTAAGTTGTAGCTGAGGTACAGAAGTTCAAGTAAACAGCCCTTTTTCGATAACCTCCAGTAATTATTCTTTTCGTAATTTCCACCTACCAGTGAGTTTTCAATAATCATGAATGGGTCCAGAACTCGAGAGAGAGAGAGCCCGTAAAGCACGACGGAACGAGTGAGCTCCGTAAGAACGATCGGTGAGAGCCCCCTACAACTGTATATTTCCGATCGAATCCGACAGGGCAACGGGCTCGTGGCCCAGTGTTTAGAGGCTTAGAATTCTAACTAACAGGTCGCGAGTTCAAGCCTGGGTACGACTGGCTGTCGACGGCTAATAAGCCAGAAATGGTCATACTAGTCTCCCTTGTCTTTGTCGGTAATAACACACTGCTCCATTTATTTTTGACATTACTGATGTTATAGCTACTTAATTCAGGTAAGAGGCCCACAGAGAAATTGGTGCAGTGACTCATGGTGATAGTGGATTTGCGCTACACCTACCGCACTGTCCTTCCTAACCCGCCTAATTTCGGCGTCAAAGCAGTGTCATGTGGATCGGAGGCGGGATTGGGCGCACTGGCGGACAAAGTTAAACAGCCCGTCTGCGCGTGCCATACACGTGCCAGGTGGACCAGCGTTTCGCAGTGGGGTGGCAGCTCAGATCCCATCTGGGTGGAAATGCCTTAGAGGTCACAGTAAGGGCCTGAATCTCCGCACTGAGAGACGGATCGAGCTATCTTGTCAGTTGGCAGCTTTTAGCGCCAGATTGCTTATAGTGAGTAAGGTGCTCTGGGTACCGTGGAGAAGAAGGCCTCATAGTCGACCGCACTCTTTCATCCACATCACAGACAGCAGTCCACCGTCCGAGCCGGTCAGCTCTCTGGTGCGGATACTGAGCACAGGTGGCTGGCGCGGCGTGGGACGGCGCCTAGGTGTGCCACCCACCGCCCACATGCGCTACATTTGTTACTGGTACGCAGTCCGAACAACGCGTGTTGTGCCCTAATCTAGCTCCCGTGTTTGTCCAGCGTATCTCCAACGTGGCCTGTTGTAGGGGGGTAACGGCAACAAAATTCAGACTACTAGCACAGCGCTGGTCATATTCAAACAGTTTCAATAGCTTCGCTTTCCCTATCTCTATTTTCTACTGTCATTCGCTTATTTAACAACCCTCAAGCTCACCACAACAATTGCGACCACCACCACCAGTGCCATGTTCCAATGGTGACTGTCCGCCCTGAGCGAACCTAAGTAGTTTCGGCATTCCCGCTCACATCTGTAAATATGATCTCCGTTTTTTGCGTGTCGCCGGTGCGCCGATCAAAATTTCGCTTTTCCTCTTTTACTGCTGCTATTACTCCTACTCCTACTCCTACTACTACTACTACTTCTACTGCCGTCAATACTACTACCGCCTTCTCTTTTTTTCCTATATCCTCGTCACCAACATCATTGCAACCGCACAAATCAGGGCAATTAATCTTTAGTGGCAGTTCGACCGCCGATTCCGACGATGTCCCCCGTGTGCTACGCAGTTAGGTGCAGCAGATACGGTGACTTGTGTGCGAATTAGTGATAGAAGACTTTCGCACTCTCTATTCCTCACTCCTTACCTGGAATCGGTGTCAAGACAGAAGCAAGAGGACCGCAGGAGGCGGAGGGCGCAGGTGGATGGCACGTGCCACCACACCCCCAGGTCCACAATATATACCTGACCAGGGTTTTTCATCAACAATAACAACAACACTCCAACAGGGGTCAGAAGGACGAGGATGATGACTGGGCAGCCATGCCCATCACCTGTATACCCAGCAGAAGCGCAAGCGCATCTACCGGCAGGAAACTGAGTGTCAGGGAACTGCCACCGTATGCCAGGCTGCGAGGGCCATGGTTTGCTGATACTGGCATAGCACACGCCTTCAGACCTTTTGACCAACTAGTTGTTAGTAGGAGGCAAACAAATACCCTGATGAAGCTTACTGCCCACAATGTGCACAAAGACGAGTAACTTCTACTAATCAATGCTGCACTGCTTTTAATGTCCACAGGCTAACACCGGTTGGCGTCTGCTTCATGGTGGCCTCCTCAGTAGCCTCCCGTACGGACATCCAGTCGGACTTTGTGCAGCTGGGTCTCTTCATTGCCACTGTTCTCACCGGACTAGCCATTCATTTCATCCTCATCGTGGTCATTTTGTTGGCCGCCAGCGGAAAGAACCCCTTCCGCCTGCTGAAGTACAGTGTCGAACCCTACCTCATCTCCTTTGCAACCACAAGCCCGTAAGTCTTCCACGCATCTTTTCACTTCTACTGCCAACAAAAGCATTGTTTATCTGAGAATAGACTGTGGTGGCCCTATCGCGAGCGCCCGTCGCAACGCTGGGCCTCTCACGAGTGTCTGTACTTACGCATCAGGGCTGTTTGGCGTTCGCCAATCAGATTCAAGGCCGAGTAAGACGCGTCCTGGCTTAAGACGCTTTGACGCATCCCCTGGCGACACTGGGGGCGCCGCTCTTCTGGCACCGGACGTATCCTCGTCCAGTTGTTAACTCCCTCCGACTCCTCCAGTTATTCTGTGTAGAGTACATCATCCTCTCAACTGGCGCCCACCTTGGGACCATGTCTGGAGTTCGTGGTAGCCAGTGTCTCGTCCACGGCTTTGGCTTCACTGATAAGACCTCTGGACGGTGTTTTATAGCCGTTGGGAGTTAAAAGCAGCTGGGTCGGCCGTCAGACCCTGTGGTCCACAAAGGTGCCTCCCGACTTGCATATGGCTGCCGGATTTTGTGGCCCCGCACTATCTATCGTCCCTGGTCTTCCGGCGGCTGGGGTGATGGTCCGGTTGTCAGCTCATTCTTGTTTTCGAGCTAAGTCGTTTGCAGGTGGGAGTCCCGTGCATGCTGTCTTCACATCCCCCCGCCCGTACCGAGCGTCAAACTTGTCGTTTTTATCAGCATTCCCCCGGAAGTGTCAGTCGACTGCTTTGTACCAAATCAGCCCCGATCAGACCATTTAACGCCTCTTCCCCTAGAAGAATGCTGATTTCCCAAAAATATGTTTGCGTGTGGGATATTTCGATGTGATGAGGAATTTTCAAAGTTACAACTACTGGGCTAGATACACAGCAAATTACGAATGTATATGCCACGTACCTGGCGCCTATGAATCCGCTGGCTACTTTTGTGATATGGTCGGCTGAAGATATCATGAACGAGATTGTTAGCCCAATCCTTCTTGTTTTTGTCGATTTGCTCTCACCATCCTCCGTTTAGCGGCCTGTTGGATGTCCGCTATATGACCGGTGTCAGATCTCATTTGGTCTCGGAAGTAAAACATATCGCCTAGTCTTTAGACATATGGGAATGAGTATCCAGGCCACTTCGACATGTAGATGTTCGATTTTTCGCAATCAGTGCAATCACTGCTACGATGAAAGATTTACACAGCGGCCGAAAAGTAGACTTAGACGACATATTGCGCTAATATAAATGTTCGTCATAATTAACATCTTCTACGGGAAACCAGCGAAATTCTGGTCCACAACATCGCCCCCCCCCCCCCCAATGACTAGGGGCAGATCAGCAGATTGGTTTAGATGCCTAAAGATGCCGAAGCGACCACCGTTGTGGCTATGGTACAGTCCGCTTTTACACAAGTCTAGAAATCGGACGAGATAGAGGACCTCATTTGACAGTAAGTGCTCTCATTGGCAATGCCGCACAAGCCAGCAGAACAAGACGCCCGCCAGGTGTTAAACGCTAGTAGAAACACTGTGGCACTACCAACAGACCGAGTGATGTCGGCGGCTGTACTGAAGAAGGCTAAATTCTTTAAAAAGGCCAAGAATAAGCTGGATGTTTGACTAATAGACGGAATCTGTAGAATACTCGATAGTCCGACACTGCAGCAGCGTTGGCGCAAGCATGTTATCTTGCGTATTACAGTCTACTTCTCAAAGTTTTAATCTTATTTCTGTCCGTCTGCTTCATTTTACAGGGCCGTTGCCATTGGAGAGATGTACGATGGCCTGGACCGGTACGGAGTGAGCCCCCTAATCTCCCGCTTCACCACACCTCTCTGCTCGGCCATGAAGGGTGATGGGCCGGCCATCTTCATAACCTCCGCTGTCCTCTTTGTCGCTCAGCAAGCCGACGCCAATCTTGATGTGGGACAGGTCCTAGTTGTCCTGTAAGTGGCCCCGGAATGAAGACAGAGGGTCTGGTTTTTTATCCTCCTCCTCCTCCTCCCCCCCTCCTCCTCCTCTACCTCCTCCTCTCCCCCTCCCCCAATCGTCCCTCTCCTCATGCCCTTTTTCCTCCACTCCCTGCCCCATCATCCCAAACCCAGTCCCTTGTTTTTACAGCTGCTGTGATCCGTATGACAGATAGGACAACTTTCCGGAGGCTGCCATTGAATGGCTGTTAAATGTAACTAATCAGAGTTAGATAGCCGAGCCCGTAGCTGTCCAAACTCCTTACTGGTGGGCACACACTGCAGTTGAGACTGTCGGCTGTAAGACCGATGTTGTCACGACATGGCAGCGTCCTACCAAGTCCGTCCAGAGGCACAGTTTGGAAGGCCTAACTACTCATACGAATGGATGCAGCCCTACCCAGTAAACACAGAACCATCTGTCTTTTAAGACAAGCCCAGAGCAGTCGACCCTGTAGCTCTAACTATCCAAAATCCCCTGCTAGCAATTATTCTGCAGTGGACCTATCGCTGTCAAGGTTTGTTTCCTTCACAAAAGGATCGCATGTTGCGGAGAGTTCTGGCCTTTAAATTGTATCAGGTCGACTATGAAGCCGGATAACTTTCAAAATCCGGTTTGAAAAGGTCTTACCGCTAAAGGCAAGAGTGCCTACAGTCGCCACTCTTGAAGTATAAACCGCCGGCAGCCATTACTACCCATTCCCAGGTCTGGCGTTTGAACTAGCATCCGATTGGTCCGTGAGCTGAACGCTGTGCCAGGAGACCACCGGTTCACGCTTTGTCAACCGCGACCGGAAAGGTTCAAGACCACATGAGTGCGACGTTTTCTGACCGAGCCACTTTGCGAGAGAAAATGTGGAGCGGGAGAGGGGGCATGGGTGATGTTTTACAGCGGTGTTACCTCCGAGGACCCTCACGGATTGTCGTAGGACAAGGAGTAATTAAGACTGAAACAGGGAGCTTAAGCACCATCACCCGAACACTCCTAAGCGTCGAATGTCTTCACTGAGCAAGGAGCATTTGTACCGAAACTTGTATATATGGCGGGTGTCCCATTGGCTGATCAAACACCATTAGATGCAATCCTCGATACAAGCGAAGATGCGAGTCCCAGAAACTAGTTGATGAGAAATGGAAGCGATCGCTGGAACAAGGGCCTTATTCGCCTGACGTTTCGGATTCTCACTTGGACCCATCATCTGAGACAGTGAAAGAAAAGATGCGATTCTGACGATGCCAAACGGAGGCTTTACAACAGGCTAATTTTTACGGTGCAGAAATTCGAAAAACCTACTAAATGCGCTCTGAAGTTGCTTACTGACTTCAGCCTGCCCAACAGATGGTCATCCATGTTCTGGTGCAAATGACTTAAAAGTCATCCATGCGTTGGTATACGTACCGTCCACTCCAACTTTCGAGTGCGTCTGCCAGTCAGCTCGCCAGATCTGAAACACCACCAGCGTCAGCATTCTCCGTGAAGTATTATCTCAGGAAGTGCATTTCTCGGCCCCTTCTCCATGTGGCTCACCTACTGCAGGTGTGATCCGAGCCTGAGATGATCACAGTGCGCCAAGTGCCCTAGCTTGGAAGGTTGCCAACTGACGCTTCAACTCAGCCCTCGCAGTCAGCCCCGTTGTGTGTTTGTGTTGAGAGGTTGACCAGTGGACTGAGAGTCAGATTAAAATGGATCCTTCTTAGTGTGACTTCTATGGCATTCTCACTCCGTGGGATTCCGGCCGGGTATGGCACACGCCTAGAGGCGACTCCGGTTGCGCCAGTCATCGCTCCTGATGCAGTTGGTTAGAATCCTGGTCAATTGTTTGTTGTAGACTACAGCCTGTGGTGTCAAGCCTGGGTGCGGGTCCGGTCTCGCCCTCTTGACCGGGTCTTGACACCGGGCCCGGGTGTGGGGATAGAGACGAGTGAGTGCGGTAGACGCAACGCAAGTCCACCATCGCTATAAAAGAAATTCCGTGCAAGTTGCCGTGCCTGCTCTCACCCTGCTGCAGAGCACACGGTGAATATGGTCAATCACGACGATCCAACTGTCGCGTTAGTGCCTGCTGAGGACTTCACTCGATTCGGCAGTCCGACATTGCTGGCCAGGAAGCACGTCCGCGACCTCTGATGTTAGGACCATTCACGCATCCGCTAGCCTTTGTTATACGACAGTGCACTCTTACCGCATTGCCTTCACGGAGTGTCTTGTCGATAAGCGCTATAAGTGCTAAACCTAGTTTCTATTATTTTTTTCAGGTTTCTGACATTCGCGTCCTCATTAGCCGTGCCAAACATTCCCAGCGCCAGCATGGTCCTTGTGGTCACTGTGCTCTCCTCTGTCGGCGTTCCCACCGAGGGCGCTGGGCTGCTTTTTGCCATGGAATGGTTCCTGTAAGCAAATGGATTTTATTTTGTCTCCTATGAAATTACTTTATGCATGGGCGGGGGGCTTCTGTCTTTAAAGCAGAACTTTTAAGCGCCTTCCAGGGGGACCCACACATGCGCACAAACTATCGCTAGACCATGGCAGGGGGGGGGGCGCTCATCGATCGTTCTTACGGAACTCACTCGTTCCGTAGTGCGTTACGGGCTCTCTCTCTCTCGAGCCCAAGAAAAAGGAGACTAGTTTCCCTTGTCTTAATCAGTAATACCTCATCGATTTACCTCCTGGAAATGTCGCCTAGGTCGGGATTTACTGTGTATCTGAGCACACAAAGGTAGGAATTTTGATGATCGATATAGTCAGTATGCCCTCCTTAGAAAGTAAGTGCCCGAACGTATCAATTTTTTGGTAAGTCTCAAGTTAGCATTCGAGCTGTTGAGACTGATCAGTAAGCTTAGGGCCGGGAAGATCTTACATAATGCTACGACTGGCGAAATGGACTCAACCGGTTCTGTGTATTCTAGTTCCCACTTGTCTAATGTTTTAGAAGACGCATCAAAAAGTCCGAGATTTCGAGCTAGAATCCCCAAAAGAAGGAGCGATTCCTTGAAAACACTGCGTGACCTTAGGGTGTTTTTTTCCAAATCTGGAAAAAAGTAAACCTTACTGTGAATAACTTGTAACAGAAGCCAACTTCGTCCTCTTGTAGGGATCGTTGTCGCTCAGGAAGTGGCGGTCTCTCCATCATGTACATTGCAGCAACAACGCAGGCCATCTACGACCGTACAAAAAAGCACGAAAAGGAGACGGAACCGGAGGACGCTGCATCAGGATCTGTCGGGAGCGATAAGGAGAATTTGCCCGTATAGGGTCAAGATCCCCTAACTTTTGTATTGTTTATTTTACGAACAGTATTTTACCTACTACTTTAATTTTCAGTAACTATTGTTATTTGCATAAACAAGAAATGACAATGTTGCACTAAAAGGGCCTTTTGGTTGCAGTTACCCTGTTTAACTTCAGGCGCCCAACACTGTACAGTCGGATATTTAAATGTATGAAAGTAGACCGTCTGTAATGCGAGGGCAAGTACACATTAAAGCAACTGATATGACGGGACTGATGACATCACCCTCGTGTGCATCCTGGAATGGGGCTCTCTAGGTGGATATTTTGATTTCAAAGTTTATGTTAAGATCTTCCCAGGCGGTAGCAAAACGACTGGCATGCGATGTGCCAGGAGATAACCTACTAAGACAAGGGTGAAGGGCACAGCTACAAGTACCACTCCTACGTATCACAAGTGGTTATACTCCAAATTCCATGGGGGTGGGATTGGAAATGGGATCAGGAGGGTTTGTGTTAGGGTTGGGAGCCTCACTGTCAGGGTCCAGGTTAAAGTCAGGACACGGGAATAAATAGTCCTGGAAGTAAGCATAAGACCACCTGCAGTACGCGAGTGCGCGTGCGCTTATCTAACCGACAAGGGAAACTAAGAGGGCCATGCCTCACTTGTGTGATGCCGTTAAACTGTAGTGTTTCAGCTGTAAGTTAAAGGGGCCCTGATAGTCGAATAGAAATCAAGGTATTAATTGAAATGGTAGCTATACCGGCCGAGATACGAGGTGGACAACTTTTCATTTGACTGCCAAAAATTACGAGTCCGCCAATTAGCTTGGCTGTCGCGACATGGGTGACCCCGACGTGCTTTTCAGTAGTATATTGCTCAACCCAATAGCCCATCCGGGCCTGCTGGTCGAGGGGATACGAAACAGAGTGCAGGAGCTAACGCTACATGAAATCCTTCTTGAAGAAGGAGACACGATCGCCGGGACAGGAGATTTATTAGCCTGACGTTTCGGATTCCTACTCGAATCCATCATCAGAGACAAAAAAGCAGAAACGGGTGGTTGTTGCACAAGGGGCTGCGGTAGTTATAGGATGCAGTAGCCATGCTACCGCATACCTATGAACATTCATGGCTCCCCCCTTCATCCGGGACCGTCGCACTTGGTGTGATAATTGCTTGATGGCCGACATCCGAGTCGACAATTGTTGCAATTTCATCACGTGCGTTGGATGTTGGCGTGATGATTACTCGACCATCTGACGCACCGACCCCGGTGTTGGGAAAAGTGTTCACCTCAGCGCTCCCCGCATGGCTTGTTACTCCGCCTAGGCGAAGTTTCAGTACGGAGTATGGAATGGGAAGATCGTTGCATTTGTTGATGGAGTGGGGGCCAGTAAAGCATGATTCCCGTAGCTCCCGGCTCACGCGGTTGTCAGCTCTTGCGAGAATATCGGCCTCATCGAATTTGAATGTGTGACCGGATCTTGTTGAATGAGCCGCAACTTGAGAGCTGGCGTAATCTCTGCGCACCGCTGTCGCGTGTTCGGCCATTGGCTTTGAAGCCAATGGCTACCCGCGCAAATTCGTCGACCGGTGCATACGCAAAAGGGACGAAAGTCCTAGCCGCACGGACACCAAATCTTGGCGGGTACTTCCGTATGTCAAGAACGTTTCGGAAGCTGTCGGCCGCCTTCTCGCACCACTTAGGGTGCGAGCCTGTCCAGAGCAACAGCCAGCATATGATGCGGTGATACCTGGTTAAATATTTCAGCCCGCCAAAGGTTCGCCTGTCTTCGGAGATCTAATTTGCAGTTCTGTTCTCGATCCTGATGCTGCTTGAGATGTAAATCTCGAGGTAGAGGTACACGTCTACAGGTGTGGAGGGCGTTAAATTGACACATACCTGATTCATGTGCAGTGAGTGATCGACCTCATGAAATGTTGGCTGAAATTCTGAAATATGTTTTCGATTAGGAAGGATAACTTAGGCGCGGTGGCAATACTGATTGGCTTGTGGCAAAATCCTATTTCGAGCTCAGCGGAATATCAGCTTTTGAATACACGGCTTTTCAATCTCCTGTAGAGACCGTACTCGGTAAAAGATGAATACTCGAGTAACATGCATTTGTCACCTTGTTGCTGGAGTTCCCTAATCGCATCAAGTTCGAACTTGGAAAGCACTTCTCCACGCGGCCTGTGAGCCATAAGGAGAGAAAACAGTAAAACCACATTGACACGAATGCCTTCCCTAAGTGTGTTCTCGAGATAATAAATCTTAAATACATTTTATGTACGAAAAGGTACCGGGAATCACTTGACATATAAGTTATTTGTGTTCGCACGAGAATGACCTGTCTTTTTATGGCAAAATCACCTACAAATATATTTAGCGGGGGATGGAGCCCATTTTGCTTATCACGCTAGCCTAATGACCAAAAGTCTCAATGTCATTGGTGGCACACCCTGTCAGCGTCCATTTCAGTCTTCCTGTTTTGTCAATTCTGCCACGTCTCGCGCTTCGCAAAAGTGGTATGATTTCCGGTTCAAACAATTGTGGAATATGATATTGTAAGTGACGTGTTCCATGGCTGAGATATGTCAATTTATAAACGCCCGATGATTTTACATATCCATCCAAAGCATAAAAAGGTATTCCGAAAAACTTACGGTGCATCAGCTGAACCGCAAATCACACATGTTTTACGGGCAGAACTTCAGCGCGAAAAACGAAGAGAGAATTAACGTCAGGTTAAATGAAAGTTGCAGACAAATGCTCCGTGACCATAGAAGATATGTTCGTGAAATCCGTTGCTTAGACTAAAAGGTCAGCCCTGGCAACTTGTAGTGTCAAGGAGGCTAAATCCTGCTTGGCTAAAGCAAGGCGGGGAAAAGTCCATCTCTTGCGTAATTGTGGTTCACTTGGTTGAGAACGGCCAGCGGGTAGACGTCAACAAAGCATTCCGAGTCGTCTACAGAATGGACGAAAGGCCTAACCGTATGGACACCAAGTTTTGGCGAGCGCTTCCGTATGTCAAGAACTTTTCGGAAGCTGTCGAGGAGGCTTGGTATTCATCTGGTGGACATTTGATTGAGTGCCAAGAAAAGCGAAGAGACGAGCCCCAGGGAGCAATCTTGAAGAAGGAGACACGATCGCTGGGAGAAGGGCTTTATTAGGATGACGTTTCGGATTCCTGCCTGAACCCATCATCAGAGGCAAAAGCAGATGCGGGTGGTTCATGCACAAGGGGCTGCAGTATTTATAGGATGCAACCGTCATGCTACCGCATACCTATAAATGTTCATTGCTCCCCCCTTCATCAGTGATCGTTGCACGTGATGAGCTTGCAGCAATTAACGACGCAAATGTCGGCCATTAAACAATCACACCAAGTGCAACAATCCCCGATGAAGGGGTGTGCAGTGAATATTTATAGGTATGCGGTAACATGGCGGTTGCATGCGACAAATACTGCGGCCCGTTGTGCATGAACCACCCGTACCTGCTACTGTCCCTGATGATGGATTCGAGCAGGAGTCCGAAACGTCAGGCTAATAAAGCTGTTCTCCCAGCGATCGTATCAGTATCAGTATCAGTTTACTAAGGGAAATATAGGCAAGCGCCTTTGAATTCCCTCTTGGTTACAAGTCGTCGGAGAAAAACATTGATAAATGGGAAGGTGAAAAATGGATTTTGTACATACTCGCGGACAGCTGGCAGCTAGCCGAAAAAGAGTAATCATTAATGGTTACTTACTAATTACAAGTAGTATAAACACATAAGATGGTACCGGGTTATGTGAGTGGATGTGGGGGTGGTAATTGGGAAGCTTGATGCAGGTCAAGTCTACACTTGAAGGAGTTCACACAGGAGGAGGTTACAACATCGATAGGTAGGGAATTCCAGGCTGCAACCACTCTGTTACTGAAAAAGGACTTTCGTCCATTGGTTCTTGATTTCCCTGCGCGTAGTTTTAGGGGATGGCCGCGCAAATTGGGCGTGTTAGCTTGGGTGAAATAATCTGTGGGATCTAAACAACAGTCTAGGCCGCTGATGATGCGAAATGTTAGTATAAGGTCACCACGTAATTGCCTGTAGGATAGGGGAAACAGGTTTAGGATTGACAGTCTGGTTTCATAGGGCAGTGCTCCCAGACCTTGTGTCATTTTGGTCGCCCGTCTCTGGACCTTCTCCAAGACGGTATAATCCTTGGTAGTCCAGGGTTTCCACGCCTGTATGACGTATTCTAGATGAGGTCGCACGAAGGTGCCAAATATTTTGGAAAAGCAGCCAGGGTCAAAACCCATAAATGCTCGCCTAATGAGTTGCAATGTGGCCGTAGCCGATTTAGCCGCCTTCGCGCAGTGCAGTGTTGGTTTGAGTGAAGATGTAATCCATACACCCAGGTCCTTCTGACTGTCAACCTGTTGCAGTGGTGTGCCGTTTAGAAAGTAGGTCCTGGGGCTGGGGGCTCTGAAGCCGCCGAGTTGAAGAAAGTTACACTTGCTTATATTGAAGGGCATAAGCCAGCGCTTCGACCAGTCTTCGAGCCTGTTCAAGTTTGCTTGCAGGTGGTCTGCGTCTGCCGCATCGTGAATAACTTTCCACAATTTTATGTCGTCGGCAAACAGGATGGCATCACAGTCTAGGTCCTTGACGCAGTCATTTACGAAAACGAGGAATAACGTGGGACCTAAGACTGAGGAATAACGTGGGACCTAAGACTGATCGTGTCTCCTCCCTGAAGACCTGATTGACTGTTTCGGAAATCCTGCAAGGGCAGTCGGTCTACTGTATCAGAATAGGCGGATTCCATGCTCTGAAGTAGTCTGGGTGGGTAACTTGACCCAAACATGATAAAAATCATAGCTCCCGGTCAAAGCCACGTATGTCAGGTGGTTAGAGCATTCGCTGTACTCAATCCTTCCCCATGCCATAGTGGGCCTGAATCCCACGTATGGCGCTACGATTTCCGCAGCTAAATCGAATCTTCCAAAAACATGCATTATTAATTTGTTATT